GAGATTGAAACCTTAAGATTTGAAATGTTGACATACAGATAAACTTACTTCCTCAAGCAGTAGTTGTAAATCAGGAACTGTGCCTGTAATATAAAAATCTGTAATATAAAAAGCAAATAACATCCCATCAGAGCATACGACTCATTGCTTTTTGAAAAATCAAAATAAAACACACAGGTACAATCTCTCTCAGCACAATATTCTAATTGTCAGTGGTTTTTGTCATGCATGGCTCATGAGTCACATAGCACATGCTTTGTTAATCATTTACCTCTGGGGTAAAGTAGGAAGAAGAAAAAAACAAAACAAAAGCCCAGAGCATGGAAGTTAAGAAGCACAACTAAACCGCACAGCAAGTCCGGCTGTGATCTAAATCATGCTTTAACTCTGAAATCTTCCTTTTTTGTGTTAAAAAAGAAAGCCGGAGAGTATTTTGTGGGTGCCTTATGATATCTATTGTATTTTTATTTCTGTAATTAAAGTAAATCTATCCTCAATAGAATAAAGCTTTATTTGCAGAATAACATTTTTGATTTATTTTGTTTTGTTCTGTGGGGTTTATAGTATTTTTGTGGGGTTTATAGTTTTGTGGCTAGCCCTTTAACGAATTGGTGAGCATATGCATTTCAGAATTGGATGTTTCCTTCAGTTGTGTATTTAAAAAAAAACAGAAACAACATATTTATAAGAATATTAGACAAAGTCGGGCGATGGTGGCACACACCTTTAATCCCAGCACTCAGGAGGCAGAGGCAGGCGGATCTCTGTGAGTTCAAGACCAGTCTGGTCTACAGAGCTAGTTCCAGGACAGGCTCCAATGCCACAGAGAAACCCTGTCTTGAAAAGCCAAAAAAAAAGTAAATTAATAAATAAAGAATACTAGACAAATCTTTGTTGAATGAGTTGACGGAAGAATGAATGGCTCTTTTCATTATGCATTCCCACGTTGCTTCAGCCGCAGTCTGGTTTCCTGTGGGTCTGTACTTGGAGAGAATGGCTATGTGTATCGGTACCACGATCCTCACCTCACGCTCACATCCTCTGGGGAATTAAAAAGTTGTCACTGTGTTTTGTTTTCTTAACTTGAGCATTTTTAAAGATTATTTCATTTTGGGTTAGAGAAACAGCTCAACAGTTAAGAGCACTGACTGCTCTTCCAGAAGACCCGAATTCAATTCCCAGCACCCACATGGCAGCTCACAATTGTCTGTAACCCCAAGATCTGACACCCTCACACAGGCATACATTCAGACAAAACACCAACGCACAAAAAATGAAACTTTCAGAAAAGATTTTGTTTTATTTTATGTGTGTCTCTGTGTGCATGGGCACAGAAAAGGCAGAAGAGGGTAACAGATTCCCTGGAGTTGGGGTTATAGGTGGGTGTGATTCACCCAATGTGAGCGCTAGGAATCAAACTCCAGCCCTCTGGAAGAGCTGCAATTGCTCTTAATGGTTGAGCCATCTCTACAGTTCCTACCATTGTGCTTTTATTGGAAGATTTCAAGTGTGAGTGTAAGGCATTAGTTCAAAATAAAGTATATGGCATCAGGCTAGCCTTGTATTTTCTACAGGTGAAGGCAGATGAAAGGGAAAAAGAGAAGCAAGAGTGACAAGAAATGGAGCCATGTAACTTCTGAGAGGCAGGAGGAAGAAGGTGATAACCCTTGCCAGGTGCATTACGGAAAGGCAGGTGGTGGGATGAACCGAGGTGATGCGCTGTTTTCTTTTGTAGTGTGTGTGTGGGGGGGGGGGGCGGGATACGGAGGCTCCCTTGGGCTTGGCTCTAAAACCACCTGGCTCTTACAGGTAGCACAGGCCCACAAATGCCAGATGTTTGAGTCAATCATGCCTATTTTCCTTACATGAAAGAGGCCTGCTTGGGTAATTATTAAAATGCCATAGAATGTGTTGCATAATGCCTTGGCAGGTCAGAGAGAGCCATGTCCATCTGCCTACTAATGATGTGCGGGGATGAGGAGCTGCTCGACTCCTTTCCTTGCTGCCGAGGAATGGAAGGCATGCAAGACCCATAACCCACCAGCAAGGAACACATATCCTGAAAAAGATTCTACCAGGAAGTCTCAGATAAGGCAGAGAAGAAGGTAAGGAAGAGCTGCTTCGAAGCCTTTGCCTTGCTATGGCTAGGGAATAAGAAGGAAAGAAACACGTGCAGACACATGCAATTGGCTATCTTCAAATGTCTTTTGCTCTCTGTCAGCCTCTAGCCCAGTGCAAGCTGTCCTTGTCCAGTGGGGAGCAGCGAGCTTAATTCCCACAAATACGGACTGACATCTCCCCTCACCAATTACTCCGAAGTCAGGAGAAAGTCTAAAACGCTTTTTTTTTTTTCTTGCTTTACCTGGATGACAATGAGAAATCAACACCTACTTCAAGAGAGATTATGCTACCTAGCTGTGGGGACTGAATCAGCACCCAGTAAAAACATTCATTGAGTGCAAGGGAAAGAGCCCTTTAAAAAGCAGGCAAGAGTGGATGTGGTGGCCTTTAATCCTAGCAGAGGCAGGCAAATATTGGAGTTTGAAGCCAGCCTCATAAAGCAAGTTCCAGGATGGCCAGGGCTACACGGAGAAACCCCATCTCAAAAAACAAAAACAGTCAAAAAGAAACAAAGACAATGATGTTCATTAATAGAAATGATGTCAACCTTAAGAAATAAAACTGCAAATAAATAAATAAATAAATAAATAAATAAATCTGACCATTAACATATAAATACTTGAGCTACATTCTGTCAAGAAACAGGAAGGTATTTTAAATGTCATAATACACTTTAATATATCTGTTTATTTATCAAGATCTCCCAACTAAGCAATAGATTTGTTTCGTTTTGAACTTTGTTTGTTTGGTTAGTTGGTTTGATTTGGTTTTTTTGAGACATGGTTTCTCTGTGTAGCCCTGACTGTCCTGGAACTCGCTCTATAGACCAGGCTGGCCTCAATTCACAGAGATCTACCTGCCTCTTCCTCCCAAATGCTGGGATCAAAGGCGTGCGCCACCACTGCCCTGCAAACTATAGGTTCTTGATTCTCTTTTTGCATCAGCAGCCTGTACACAGATATCAGAGCGGTGTGAAACTAATGCCTTCCTGAATAGCAAATAGTTCAAAGTTCATACCCAATTTCTTATTCTGCATACTTCCAATTGAAACAATGGAAGAGAACTTGGGTTGTAGGTTTGCAATGGGGCTAAAAGGTACAAATGGACAGACTGTTCCCTGGGCAAGATTATCCAGTCAAATACACACATTACGATAGAAAATCCAGCCTGCGTTCTCACTTACCACAAGCCACAGTATCACTCCGTATGTAACCATAGAGAGCAGAACCTTCTTATAGCTCCCTACAGAAGCACTGTGCACAACAGAAACAATCCCGATTTAAATAATGACTTCGAATTATCTCTGACAGGTTACATCCTAAGAGCCAGACAACGTGCCCCACTGACCTGATTTCACAAGGTCTATTCTTGAACTAAGAACAAGGCTGGAGATTGTTTCCCAGGGATTCTCAACATAGGATGGGCTTATAAAATAAATACTTTTCAATTAAGAGAATGGTGTGAGGTGATAAGAGTGCCTCCGCTATAAAACAGGACTCCTCCGAAATTACAGCTGACCCTGACCAACCTCCTGCCAGTCACAACCCAGAGAATGTCCGCTGGGACAGCCTGTCCTCCAAGATATGTCTTGCCTAAAACAGACAATTCCAGGAAAGACAGATCACAGACCCACACAAGCCCCCTACGGTTGCAAGAACTTCCTCATTCCCAAGCCTCCTGCCTGCCTATGTAAAGGGCTCCAGCTAGCCTAACCCCTTTCAAGATACCCCTTCCCTCAGAAGAGTGTCTGTCCTTCCGTGTAAATGTTCAGTCTGTTGAGGTCAGATTCTAGTCTCTTTCTGCCTTCTGCCTTTTTAAATTGCCTCAGAAATCTAACAGAAGGGAGACTCAGTATTTCCCTGGCCCCAGGATGTAAGTTACAGAATCAGAGGCGCTCTAAAAACAAATAAAGACAAAATCAACCCTGGGAAGGCTTAACGAGAATTGACTCACTACTAGGCATTACCACCAGAGACCATCCGGTCCAATGATCTCCTGATTATATCTACGAATAAGACAAGCAGATTAAGTGACTTGAGGATGGCAAAGCTGAGCCTCGACTTCAGTTGTTTTTCTTTCAATCTACTAACCTATCATACACACACACACACAAACATATTAACCCATCATACACATACACAAACCTATCATACACACACAAAAACACACTAACCTATCATACACACGCACATACATACTAACCTATCATACACACATACATACTAACCTATCACACACAAACATACTAACCTATCATACACACACACATACATACTAACCTATCATACACACAAACTACTAACCTATCATACACACACACACACACACACACACCTGGCTGCCATTGCTACAACCCGGACCATCGAATGTGCACTGACTGTGGGAAAAGACTGAGACATAGAGACTTGGTCTCCATCCAAGGCCTCTTGCAATATGGAAAGCACAGGAAATGTAAGTACAAGGGGCTAAGCAATCCTAAGCAAGAGCTGGCGTTGCTCCGGAGGCTGGGACTCCGTTTCCTAAGTGGGAGTAGTGCTGTCCAGGTGAGCAGCAGGGATAGGGTGGGGCGCCTTCCTACGCACAGGCCGCAGGTTGGGGAAGGGCCAGGCCAGGTGACCGAGCAGGTCCTGCAGAGGCTGAAAGCGAGCCTAAAGCCCGGAACGTGAGCGAGCAACTTCCAAGGCCCCTCCGGGGATACAGCTGAATCAGCCTCTGGGCTCACGACCCAAATGTGTAAAGATGAGTGGGAGGAAGCCTCATTCCAGCTGGCATCCGGGAGCGTGGGAGCGAGGGGGAAAGCCATGGCGCCGGGAGCGAGGAGCGGCACCGAGGCCGAGACGGCGGTGACCCCGTGCGACCCCCACTTCAGGCGGAGACACCACCGAGCACGCTAACCCAGCGGCTTCGGGCCTTCCGGGGAGGTGCGCGCGGCCGGGGGCGGGGCCTCCCTCGGGCCCCGCCCACGCAGGGGTGCGTAACAATGGGGCGGGCCTCGGAACGGCGCTGCAGCGGCCGGGGGCCCTGCGGGGAGGCGGAGTCGCCTCGGCCGCAGCTGCTGCCCAGCTCGGGGATTTGAAAGATTATAAACTCCGGGCGGAGAGGGCGGCGGCGTCGGATGCGCGTGTGGCGGAAGCGCCGCCGGCATGAACTACCCGGGCCGCGGCGCCCCGCGGAGCCCCGAGCGTAACGGCCGCGGCGGCGGCGCCTGGGAGCTGGGCTCGGACGCGGCGGGCTCGTTCGGCGGCGGCGGCTGCTGCTTCGAGCACCAGCCGGGAGACGGGGTGCCGCTGGCGCTGCTGCACGCCGAGCCGCTGCACCTGGCGCCGGGCACCGACGACTTGAGCCACCTTGCCCTGGACTCGTGCCTCAGCGACGAGAACTACGACTTCAGCTCGGCCGAGTCGGGCTCATCGCTGCGCTACTACAGCGAGGGCGAGAGCGCTGGCGGCCGCAGCTCGTCTTCGCCTCCGCCGCCCCTGGTCGCCCCGAACTCGGGGGGCGGCGGGGCGGCCGGAGGGGGCCCCGGGGACAGAAAGCGCGCCCGGCCCGGCAACGCCGCAGCCCGGCACCGCTACGAGGTAGTGACGGAGCTGGGCCCGGAGGAGGTTCGCTGGTTCTACAAGGAGGACAAGAAGACCTGGAAGCCCTTCATCGGCTACGACTCTCTGCGCATCGAGCTCGCCTTCCGGACCCTGCTGCAGACTACGGGCGCCCGTACTCGGGCGGAGGGCCGCGATGGAGACCCGGTGTGCGGCCCGGCCTCCAGCTCCGGGGAGGAAGACGACGAGGACCGCGCCTGCGGCTTCTGCCCGCGCGCAGCGGGGCCCGAGCCCGAGATGGAGGAGCTGGTGACCATTGAGCCGGTGTGCGTGCGCGGAGGCCTCTACGAAGTGGACGTCACTCAAGGAGAGTGCTACCCGGTGTACTGGAACCGTAAGTGGCTGGCTAGGGGCGGGCCGGCTACTGCGCGCGCTGGACCGGGTTAGGGACTCGGTTGCCCCGCGATGTCTGCCTCCCTCTGGTCGGGTGAAGATGCAGATTATGCGTCGGCAGGTGAAGGGTAAAAGAGCAGATGGCAGCGCCCAAGCTGCCAAGGGGGTGGAGGGTCAGGAGGAGAGGATCCCGCCGGGGATGGCGCCTCCTGGGTGAGCCGAGGGCTGCTGCCATCCTCTGGAGGGGATCCAGGAGCGGATCCCCAATCCGGTAGCTTTAGTTTCTTGACCCTACCAGTGTCCACCTGGGTATCTGATTCGGTCTCGTTTCTCCTGAAGCACTGGTGATTTAAACAGTATGTCCTGTAGTGAGTGGGAAGGTTAAGAGTGCCTGCTTGAGAATCGACAGTTCAGAGACCCGGGAAGCAAAAAGCCCTGGCGGGAAAGGAGAGCAAGGGTGTGTTATTCCCCAGGGTTTGTTGGCAGAAGAGGAAAGAACGGCAGGCTTTGGGATGTGGGTCCATGCCTTCCGTGTGGAATGCTTGTGTATCTGTTAGGTCCTGTTTATATATTTTTACTTCTGCTTCTTAACCTGGGTTGTTTTCTCATCCGTTAAATGGGACTGTTGTAAAGGTCTGAACAGTGTTTAGACAAAACGGGTAGGTTTAAAATCAGAGTAAGGAGAAAGGCAATCCAGAAATATCTGCCTTAGCATGCAGTGCATATTCATGTAATGTATTATTAATAATATGATCACATATGATATATAATAATAGAGGTTGTTGTCCATCAATAATGTGTAACATACAGTATTAACTGTACATGATTTATTGAATTAGTGCCCTAATTCAAATATCCTTCCTGATCTTTAGGCCTTCCATATATTTTATTTTATTCTGACATATTAATAATGTGTATTGATGGCTTAGCTTCCTTTCAATGTATTTAGTGACTTCTGGGCAGAGTCCACCACCTTTATCTTTGTATTCATAAAACCTAGCGTGATAGGTACTCAGTGACTTATTACTGGTATTGAATGGCACCGGTGATTTTGATAATGCCAAAGCATGCGAACATTAAGTGCAAGTTACTAAGATGGCAAATTCAGCACATGCCAAATCAGGTAAGAGTAGCATAGCAGAATTTCTTGCTAGTCTTGATGACGATAAAGGTATTGGGTACTAGACCCTGTTATGTCACCCCTTGATTATAAGCTCACTGAGGATAAGGAGCCCTTGCTTTCGTTCATTCATTTGCATATTTACTTAGTTAGCGTAGTGTTCCTGTGCACATTATTAGGAAAACCTATCTTTCAGAGGCTTCCCATTTCTCTTTTTAGTGATCCAGACATTCACCGTGGCTCCTCCCTGCAAATAGAAGCTCAGAGCTTAGTGGACTCAGAAAGGATGAGAATACAGAGCTTCTTCCGAAGGGGAACTGGAAACTAGAAGCCCCATCTCACCCTTATCTTAGCCTGAATTATGCTTACGCGCTTCAGTGCCTTATTGTTCACAAAGCAATTGTGACAGTTGTCATTTCACTGACAGCAGGTTGCCATGGACTTTCGGCATTTGAGGAAGTAGCTAATGAACTTGACCAAGGTCACTCAGCTAGAAAGTGGTGCCACAATATGAGCATCTCTCTAATCAGGAGGGAACACTGACTGGACAGTCTCATCTGAGTCCAGAGGTTGACTTTAGTCAGGTGGAGGAAGCGAGGGTGTTAGGGAAAGGGCTTCCTCCCATTTGGGGCCAGCGTGAGGCCCAAGGACACACAGACCGGAAGCTGCACACCAGGTGAAGAAGTAGGCTTCACCTCTGGGGCTCAGACATCCAGTATGGGTTTGGATTTGACCACCCCAGAGGTGTAAGGCGTGTGAGTGGCTGAGTGGCACACTGAGTTTGGACTTTATCCTAAGAGTCACTAAAGGTGCTGTATCAGTTAGGTGTGGGTAGTGCCGGTTGGAGGAGAGAAAACAGCTCATCGTATGTTACATTGTTAATCAGTTGGGCAGTGGTGAAGACAGACAAAAGCCTGGAGGTCATGTGGACTTAGGCCTCTCCAGTTTTCTTTCCTATGGCAATTATTATTTGGCCAATTATGGCTTATAAATTACTTGTTGTAATTAGTATAGAAAAACAACTCTTTACTTTTCATTTTAGTATTTTCTGATCATCTCTTTACAGTATACAGCCCTGTGGGTGTTCATCTTACAGTCTAGAGTGAAAACGCAAAAGCAGTCTTCCCGGTGTCCTGTTAAGTTTCCACGTCGCAAAGTCCCCTGTAACTTTACTTGAATGGTTTCCTGAGCTTCTGTGTGTTATAATCATTTTCACACCTTTGGAGAGTTCATCCCCAGTATGTTGGCCTCATCCTTTCTTCAAATAATGGAGCTTAACAATACTGTCCAGCTCTTGGCCTTTGCCGTTGTTTGTTCCCTTATTTACCCTTGGGAAAATGAATGGTGGTAATGAAAGGTTTTTAAAAGAAAAAATTCAACAAGGTCCTCTTTAGTATGGTAGTATTGTCTATCTGTTGGCCATTTACGTTTCTGTGGCCTATTTTAACCCACTTTTTCTTGGCATTGGAGAGAATGAGCTAGCTCTGTCCAACAAAAGAAAGGTTCTTCTGAACTTTATTCACAGACAATATTTGAACCACTTGGGCATCTGTCAGTCAAACAGGAAAGAGCATTTGTCTTCTATAGATAGGACATCTACATAGATGGGGGGGACTAGCTGTAGGACATTTATTTCAGTTTATCATGTCTTTAGATGTTTTCATAACTGCATGTGGACACTGTAGATAAAAGCTGGTCATTGCTGAGTAAAGGCTAGGTGAACTCCCTTGTTCCTACAGTCACTTCTAAGCTGCTTGTTTTGAGAATTATCTGACATGTTAGAACGGTGCTTGGGCACACAGGACTAGATAGTAACTGCCAACTAACTGTACATGGATCTTAAGAAGCCGTTCACCCAACCAAGATTAATAATGTGACCTCTGAAAATTGTGTGCTCCAAGTGTCTTGTTGGCCTTGTCCTCTTCAGAGGTGACAAAATATTTGTAAAGAATATTGGCAAGAAAGTGACCAAAGAATTTAGTCACACGCAGGTGGGAAGACATCTGGAGCCAGGATGTTCCATGAGCTTAAAATAGTGTAACTGCTATTTCGTGACATTGATGTGTGTACAGTATACACTGGAGAGTGTATAATTTTTATTCACTGAGCAAATTGCTTAATTGGCCACATTTTTTTCTGTGACTGTGTGTTTTCCATAAACAGCTGCTAGCCACAGGTCCCTCACCCTCTGGCTCTAGTCACGGTGCTGGAGTTCTCAGCCGTTTACCCCGTCAAGTACTTTAGAAATTAGTCTGCTATCTTCAGGAATGTTAAAATGAAAGGGACATTACATTCCTGACAAAATAGGATTTTAAAAATTGGAGACTTTCCCTCAAATATGTACTTATTAATTTAGCATAAATGTAACCTATCCAAGCATGAATAGTAATCCTTTATGTGGCACAGTCGGTATCGTGAGAGAATGTAAAGAGTCCAAGGGGGTTCCAGGCACTTTTTCTTGTTCAGTTTCTATCTCCTAAACAGGATTGTAAGGGGTTTAGAGACCACCTATAATAGTAATATTATTAATACTAAAATGCCTATTTCTGAGAAAGTGCTGAAGAGTTTTCCCCAGTCACCCTTCCCAAATAGTTCAGATTAGAAAGAAGCCATGGGCACACATTTATAGACCCATCCCAGGCTGAGTTTGTTTCTAGTGCTTTGTAAGTCAATGAAGCAAGGCAGGATGCGGTTGGACCTGGCACTCCCCGATCACAGCCCATTTAAGACTTCTATTAGTCTTTGTTATTAGTTTTAAAAAAAAAATCTTGTTTTTATCATTTATTGGATTTACTGGGTTCACCTTGTTTCTGTATGGCTTGAATGTAATCGTGCATGTTATACCAGTGCTTTATCTAAATGTTGAGGATGAATCTTCGTCCTCTGCCAAGCCCTTCCTCTTTCTAAATGCCCTGCTTTATTATAAAAGACACTTTGTGCTCCTTCCTCTTCCAGAGTTGATTTCCTGGATCTTTTATTTCTCTATCAATGCCTGTGTTTTGTGTTTGGCTGAGGCCTTTTATGTCTGGAACCCTACAGCTGATCCCTTTTTGTAGAGAACAAGAAAAGACTGGATGTGCCGGCCAAGGCATCCTCTGAAAGTGATAGTTATTAAGGGGAGGGGAGGCGGAGGCATAGGGGAGGGAGGAAGACTGCAGGAATCCTGAGGCAGAGATTGCTGGCAGAAGAGGTTGGAAGTAGTGCTAAAAGCCGGGGGTAGGAAATCAGATCTAAGACCTTTATCTTTCCATGAGAGGATAGAGTTTAAACCTGTCATCAAGGAAAAGCAACAGCACTGATAAAAGGTAGAGCCAGACAGTCCTGGCTTTTTTTTTTTTTGTCATGGTACATTCCTAAAAAGGCAGAAGAGGGGACAGAATGTAATTATTATATGTAACCTGCATTTCTACTTTTAAAATATTTTTATTAGATTTACTCATTTCATGTGTGAGTGAGTATTTTGCCTGCAGGTATGTCTCTGAATCATGTCCGTGCTTGGTGCCCATAGACGTCAGAAGAAGGCGTCAGATTCCCCCTAGACCTGAAATTGCTGATGGGGTGACCCACTACGTGGGTGCTGGGTACCAAGCCCAGTTCTCTGGAAGAGCCATTGCTCTAGCCCCCCCTTGTACTCTTCTAGTATTGCATCTTTAGAGGGAAACTGTACCCGCAGAAAAAAAGTTAAATCACTGATGAATGGTCTATTGGGATGAAAAACACATACAGATGTTTCTAATATGGTAACATTAGGAGACAAGTGAAATTTAAGATAGGAAAAAGCTGGTATTGACTATGTCAGAGAACTTGGGACAAACAGAAGAAACAATACAATGGCAGCAGCAAATTTCTCTTTTATGCACTACTTTCCATTTCTATCAGAT